GGATATATGTTGAAATAAACTTGTTTGAAAGTTCAAAGAAATGATATTCAAGTACTGAAAAGCTTTCTTACTATCATATCTACAGTAACGTTCAAATGCGCACGAGCTCGCGCTCGGTTAAACAAGAGTGACCACCAAAAAGGGTGAGATAGTTTACGGACAACGTAATACTTTGTGAAAATGGCCAATATTCCTAATGACTATAGATAAAGCTATAAAATTACTGTATTGGGGCAATTTTCATTTGGTTGTCAGAGATTAAACATTACTTTCCATCAGAGTATCACAAGATGGGCTAAATTTTTATTGTATCTCTGCCAAAACTACGTGCTGTGAGATTGGATATTAAATACATACTTATGTACATTTTCCAGGGAATAATGTTGATTTTTGGCCTAATCCTTTTTGTGCGTAGCACAAGCAGATTGAGCTTACAAAACGTTTCTGATGTGAAAACAAAACAGGACTAAACTGAATGTTTATGAGTGAATAAAAAAAGAAGTAAAAATATCTGGCTGCCTCACAGGTAAGGAGTCGTGTATAATTTATTTTCTATACTTCAATTTCTTAATGGAAGATACTGGTTAGCACCCATGAGGCATACGTCAAATTTTCAAGCCTAAAAACTGAGTTTCAATTCATCTTACATAGCCTTCTGTTAGAATTTCTTCTTGCACAGTTCTGCTTAGATGTCCAATATAATGAGTGAAGAACAAAGCTGGTGAAAAAGTAGAGCCTCTCTAATTTAACTTGAAAAATGTCCAATGAATTAGAGAACATACAACATCAGCAAGGAGGAAAAACAACAAGCCAGGGAAATGATGAACTGACACTTCTTTATTGTCTTTGTAGTTTTCGGAGTAGTTACATATACTTGGTGTGTTTGTCCCAGCAGGATGACACTTTTGGATATGTCAGTGACCCGAAATATATTATATATGGGCATCTACAGTCTAAAAGGTCACTGTTCCTCTGATTGATTTTAATTATGTTTCAGAGTTACAGCTAACTTCTAGCCTCAGTGTTACAGCTAAGTACTTTTAGTTTCCTTCTAACCTTAGTGTTACAGCTACCTACTCTGTAGTTTCATCCAGCCAAGGTGTTACAGCTACCTATTATGTAGTTTTCCTGTAGCCTAAGTTTTACTTCTAAAGACTAGTATTCCTGTAGCCTAAGTTTTACTTCTAAAGACTAGTATTCCTGTAGCCTAGGTGTTACAGCTAACTACTATGTAGTTTTCATCTAGATTCAGTGTTATGGGTGAGTACTTTATAGTTTCCCAATAATTTTAATGTTATATTTAACTGCTACAGAAGTTTTTAAATCTCAATTGAAGAGCTATGCTGCATATACATTAGAGTTTCACTACCAAGCCTTATTTCAGTGGAAGAGGCATGTTACTGTGAGAACATCAGTGGTTCACTACCAAGCCTTGTTTCAGTGGAAGAGGTATGCTACTGTGAGAACATCAGTGGTTCACTGCTAAGCCTTGTTTTAGTGGAAGAGGTATGTTACTGTGAGAACATCAGTGGTTCACTACCAAGCCTTGTTTCAGTGGAAGAGGCATGTTACTGTGAGAACAACAGTGGTTCACTGCTAAGCCTTGTTTCAGTGGAAGAGGTATGCTACTGTGAGAACATCAGTGGTTCACTGCTAAGCCTTGTTTCAGTGGAAGAGGTATGTTACTGTGAGAACAACAGTGTTTCACCGCTAAGCCTTATTTCAGTGGATGAGATGTTACTGTGAGAACAACAGTGGTTCACTGCTAAGCCTTGTTTCAGTGGAAGAGGTATGTTACTGTTAGAACAACAGTGGTTCACAGCTAAGCCTTGTTTCAATGGATGAGTTGTGCTATTTTGTAAACAATGTAGGTTTACTAGACCTTGTTGTGGACCAGTTTCTTTAATTTCAGTGTAAGATCTATGCTACTGTGTAAACATCAGAAGCTTATTGCTAAGCCTTGTGATGGACTTATCTGAAGATTGAGCTGAAAGCAATATTTTACTTGTTTCGAAAATGTTTTTAGTTCTAGCAATAAACTGCTCAAGGCTAATGATTATACGTTTTGTTATTAATTTCCGATGTTTCCATTATGAAAAATCATTATTTTGTTGTGTACTGAAGTATAGAAACATTTAACCCTAAAGTTTTATGTCGTTCACTGGCAATCGAGGCCACACTTTGAGTAATGTTGTGGTTTTGCTTGTTAGAACACTTAGTTGTTTTTTTTTATTTGCTTATAGTTAAACACAATGGACTATCTGTGTTGTGCCCACCATGGGTATCGAAATCCAGGTTTTAGTGTTATAAGTCCACAGACTTACTGCTGTACACAGGGAGCATAACACTTAGTGCAAGAACTTACCCAAAACTTGGTAAATGCCCTATTTTCTATATAAAATAGTGGGATTGTTATATTGATGGTCATGTAAAATTGTGTAACATGTTTTGTTAGGTTCCCTGTAATCATGGATCCACAAGTAAATTGGTGTACCACTCCTCCTTCTGTTGGTTCACTTTTAGCTTCAGAAGTTAAAATTGATGATCAGATAAGTCATTTTGTAGATTTATTCTCAATAACAAAACCTTAAGTAGTTTTAAGGAAATGTTGAAAAAAGCTGTTGAACCTAATCGGTAATTTTAGGGTTAACATTTTTATTCCATTTACAATTGATAGTAATAAATATGATTTCATTATAAGTCACTGAAGAAGTCAGTTTACTTCTTAGTAATTAGTAGTGGGATTTAACTCTTCGGTATGTGGACGATGTCTTTGTGTTTAAAAGAAAAATAATTATTGATATAATTCACACAGTCTTGATTTAAGACATTTAGTATTTGAATGATTGTGTCACTATTTTTATTAGTTCTACTTAAAAAGCAACTTTTGGGGGGGGAGTAATGACCTTTTCTAACCTCTTGTACAAGTAGGAAACTGTTAAAGTGAGAATGTTTTTAAGTTTTCTTAAACAGATTTATAAGGAAAACATCAAAGTGCATCTTGATATGATTATACACTCATGATTTTCTGGGCATGGGTCAGCAGTCAGCGTGCCAGACTATGGCCCAAAAGAAGTTTGTACTCGGCACTTTGAGCCGTTATGAAAGTGACTGTCAAATCTTGTTATTCTATCAGACAAGACTAGATCAAGAGTTTGCAGTGGGTGTTGTTAACCAATTGCCTTCCCTCTAAGGGGCCAGTCTAAGCTATCAGTTCAAAAATTAGGCAGTAGATAATTACGAGTATCCAAA